TTAGACTGATCTTCAAATAGAACAGTTATTTACTGCTTGTTTAATTGAGATGATAGGAAAGTCCCAGATGATTTATTAATAATTTCAACTAAACAGTTCATTCTAAAGAAGCAAATAATTATATTAAAATAACATCACCTTCTGAAAAAAAATTACTAAGTTGTTAAGAAACATTGCTTTCAGGCTTCATTGCCTGTGGGGGGAAAAACCCAAGACAACCCTGGGTGCATTTTAATATGGTGCTAATAAATTGAGGAAAATAACCTTCTAAATTCTGGCAAGTGATTAAGAGCCTCATCCTGAAAGGTAATGAGCATCTGCCGTGAACTGTAGATTTCAGCAGGAGTTGGTGGGACAGAACAATGAGTAGGAAGTACTCAGTACCTCACTATATGAGGCCTCAGAAAAGAGCCAGTGTTGTTTCAAAACAGCTTGGCAATCATATTAAAAACATGAAAATAAGATTACATTAGTCACCTTCTTTGTTGCAAACACCACCAGGGAGGTCAGCAATCAGGGCAGTATGGGGGATGTCACTCTCAATTGCTGAGAATTTTAATATATCTGTGCCACTGGAGACAATGGTAATATTGCAACAAAATTCAGTGACATCTGTATACATGATATTGCTTCTCTGTGGCATTTTCATATCCTTGAAATTGAATGCCTGCCTCTGCTGTGGTGACTGACTCCCTTTATTTTATTTATATCTAGAGAGAGAGAGAGCAAGCACTTACGTGAGTAACTTTACTTATGGGAGGGATCTCATTGAGTTCAATGAGACATAAGATTAGTTATATGCACAAGTATTTGCAGGATCAGGGCACTGAACTGTGACCTCCCAGGGTGTGGACCATTCCTTCTCAACGACATTGTTCTGTGTGCAGCACAACAGGGCCCTGGGACTGGGACTGAAATCTCTGGGTGTGATTGCACTATTAATATTTAACAATAATAATTACAGCCCAGCGTGGAAATGGCTGATTTTACAAACTAAGAACAGCCTAATAAGCTGTGGAAAGCAGGGGATTCACCCTCCCGTAAAGAGCTCTCCCATCGTAATCCATCTCCCTGAGAGGTGGTTGCTCTATCGGTGGGAGAAGCTCTCCTGCCATCATAGTGCTGTCTACACCAGAGGTTAGCTCGGTATAACTACATTGCTCAGGGGTGTGGATTTTTCACACCCCTGAGCGACTTAGTTATACTAATATAGGTATGTAGTGTAGACCACATGTGAGATGGCTCACTTGAGGGTAAGAGAATATCCTTCAAGGTAGGACAGTATCCATGCCAGAGCACCCCATTGTGGCTATGGAATCTTGAGAGATGCCTTTCTAACTTGACTTGGAAGTAGACAAAATAGATAACTGGAATTTGGAAAATGACAGTACAGGCTGCTCATTTTTACAACATACCGTATGGAAAGTTTCTGAGTACAGTTGTTCAGAGAACAGCTTTCTTCATATTGTGGAGTCTCAGATGAGCTTAAATCTACATCAAGATACAGGTTATTTTAAAAAAAGCATTTAGACAGATTAGCTGGGAGAGCCCTCCCAGTGCTAATTTAGGCCTTTGTATAATTTGAGTAAGGCAAGCAGGATAAAGCTGAATGTGTATGAAGCTAACATTCGGCTTAAAGGAAGGCGACAGACTTGCAACAGTAGCTTGGTACACAGAGGATTTGTTGATTAACTACAATTACAGAGTAGAAATTAAGTGGATGAAATGCAGTTTTACCTGTAACTTACATGACTATCTTAAGCAATGAAGAGGTGAAGGTACTGTTTCAGCTTCCTGGGTGCTAGTGGAACACACAAATCTCTGTCAGGGTGTCTTCCTGGAAAATATCACATATAGCATCCCTCACTGATATCTCATCGGAGCTGTCCTGTCTTATGGCTTAACTCACTCCATCTTAGTGCAGTGTGAGTGAATTTCATTCCTGGAGTATCTCACACCATGGGAGACAAAGGAGAAAAGCCCTGGCTCTTGAAGATGATGCCATAGTGCCTAGAGAGTCTTGTTTGGACTGAAATGTTGGTTCAGAACATTTGAACTAGGCGAGAAATCCTTCCATAGATTCCAAAATAGATTTATGCAAACTGATGAGACTCTGCCCCTGTGATTCTTCTAGGGCCTGATCCAGATCCATTATAGTCAATGGGAATCACCTAGCCAAGGGCCTGGAGGAGCTACTCAAGGGGAAAAAATCCCAACGCCTCCCCTTCCTTTATTATTTTGCTTAACTTTTTACTCTTTTGAATTTTAGACTTTGCCATTTCTTTACTTACAGAAATTATTTACTAAACTCTGCTATTTACATGTATGGCACAGGGCTCACCACTAGCAGCACCTCCTGATAGCTGTCCTGAGCATTAGCTCTGCCAGGCATGACGCTCCCCTTCTGGCAGTGTCTTTCCCCCATTCTGTCTCACCCTGTGACCCCTCTCACTCCAGGAACTCAGTCTCCTCTTTGTGGCTTGGCCCTCTGACCAAGTAACTAAGGTTCTCACCTTTGGGGAAATTTCGGTCCTTCCCCACTAGCAATCCTAGGCAGTCTTCCATCTCACTGCCCCATAGTGCCACTGCCTCAGTGGCTGGTAGTGGAATGCAGGCCCACCCTCTACACTGGGTCCAGCCCAGGGTCCCTAAAACAAGCAGCCAAGGCCTCTGCATGGTCCTACCCCTTGCTGTTGTTTCCCTGGGAGTCTTCCTACTCATCTGGCTTCCCCGGCTTTCTTGGCTTTCCAGCCTCTCAATGCCCTCCACTACAGACAATAACTGCTACTACTCCACTGCCTTCCTACAGCCCTTTGGCTGCTCACTGCTCACAGGGCTTTATTCTGACCCCACCTGTTCCTGCTCAGCTGGGCCTACTTCTAATTATGGCATGCTCCCTGGCCCTTCCTCCAGGTTCACCCAGTGGAGCTAATTGGCCTGCCTGGCCACTTTAACCCCTTTCAACCATGTGTGGGGTGGCCACCTCATCACATTGTACTTTACTCAAATGAAATTCTCATTGCCATTGTCACAGAAACTAGAGAACTTTGTGCTGTGTAACGACAGAGCTAAATGCTGGCTACAAGACCATGCAAGTATGTCCATCCAGTAGCTAAGTAGCCACAGACCCCACACCTGCCCGGGTGGGGGATCCAGGGGGCAGGGGGCTGCTTTTGCACCACTCCGGTTTCTGGCTTAGCCGGGGTAGGGCAAGGCCCCTGGGGGAAGAGGAGGGGCAGTGGCGGGGTCTGGGGTGGGGCCCGGGCCCAACCTCTTTTGGGAAGGCTCCAATGCCCTTGGTAGGCCGTATCCTCACTGTCTCGTGTACATTATGGAGCAGGATCAAAGCTGAGTTCCAAGGGCCTGAAACAATTCTCATGTAAGGCTAGGGGAGTCACGGGTCAGACTCCAGAATGGACAATAATCAGTCTGCACATATGGATGTCAGTTCCCTCAGCCACAAACTTCAGCAGAGTTTTTGTAACTAACTATGGAAGACTCCACAGGGAGTCTCCACAGCCAGGGCAGGAGACTCATAAAGCACGTTACTTTAAGCTTTACTCTTTAATATTACAGAATGTTTTGTTAATGCAAGACAGAGAAAAGACATTCAGCCAGCCTACCCCAGCCTCTGTCATTGCACCTTCACCTTAGCAACCAGCCCTGACTGTAAGAGCGTAAGTTAGCAGGCATAGGTTGGACACGTGCCAACCCACAGCAGGTCATAAGAATGCAGCAGGCTGTTTACATGCACAAGGCAGGGCAAGGGTTATAGCCGTTTTTGTGGGTCAAACTCATTCTGTGTGCAAATGTGTGTATGTAGAAACTGACACCAGAGTGGACAACTCGACCTTTAGTAACTTAACTGCCGCATTACTGCTTGTTAACTAAGGGCCTAATCCTGCTCCCAGCACTGACCTACACGAGAGCAGGAATAGGGCCTGTGTAAGTGAAAGATGGCAATACTAAGGCTACATCCAGACTACCCGCCGGATTGGCGGGTAGCAATCGATCTATCGGGGATCGATATATCACGTCTCGTCTAGACGCGATATATCGATCCCCAAACGCGCTCCCGTCAACTCCGGAACTCCACCAGGGCGAGCGGCGGTAGCGGAGTCGACAGGGGAGCCGCGGCTGGGAAGTAAGTCAAAATAAGATACGTCGACTTCAGCTACGCTATTCCCGTAGCTGAAGTTGTGTATCTTACATCGACCCCGCCCACAGTGTAGACCAGGCATAAAGGCTGGTCTACAGTAGGAAATTAGGTCAGTATAAAATCCACACCCAAGTGCTGCAGTTAATCTGATATAACCCCTGCTATAGATAGCCCAAGTCTCCCGTTGACCTAGCTACCGCCTCTTGGGGAGGCGGAGTACCTTCATGGACTGTAGAAGCTCTCCTGTTGGCCTTGATATCGTCTTCACTGAAGCACCACAGTGGCGCAGCTGCAGTGGTCAGCTGCAGCAGTTTATGTGTAGACATACCCCGAGGCATATGCGCAACCCCACTGACGCTGAAATGGTTGACACTGATAGTAGGCCTAGCACAGATAAAGGGCAATATGTAACCTTAAAGGGTCTAATTGTCTCTTAATGCTTAGGAGGTTTCCATGCATAACTCTTACTGTGTCTACTGGGAGTTACCTAAATCCCTTGCATGTCAACAGAGAATAGGTTTCCAAATGCATAGGGGTGATAGCACACTGGGCTGGCCACATGCTGCAGCAATGGGAATGGAAGATGGGAAATGAGAGATCAAATGGGGCATAGACTGGAAAAGCATGGCTACATCTCAGCACAGAGGCTGCATTGGGTTCAGAATAGTGTTTGCCTCTGTGGCTACAACAACTGACATTTGCAACTGACTCTTCTTAGGTGTTCACTGGTTCTTCCTAGTCAATGAAAGATACACATGAAGCAAACCAATAAATACAAAGAAGGAGGAGAGACAATGAGAGGAAAGATGTCCCATAGAGAATATGCAGCCGCACTACTGTGTAAATCTGAAACAATTAGAAACTTTATTTGTCTGTGTGGCTGTGCACTATTGATAAGGATCATCACAATCAGTGTACTTGCTGCCTATGGCTGTGGACAATACACACAAATAAAAAGTAATGAACCCAAACAAATGAAATGAAATCATTGTACACAAAGGCAATCATAATCCTGAACAACCAGAATCAGGCTCTAATGCTCTTTCCCGCCACCCTGCCCCAAAAATAAAAATTAAAAGAAAAAACCCTCACTCTCATTTAAAGTGAAAAATGAGTTTACAAGAAAAAAAATCAGTATATTCCTAGATGAAAATGCACAATAAGATAATTAAAACCTTCCACAGCTTGTTTGAAATGAGTGCAAAATCTCACCCCCCCTTCCTCGGCCAACCGGGTACACCAATGTCAGACATGCCCTTCCGCTGGATCAGAAGACGCTACCAAGGGACATGCCGTCTGTGATTTAGGGACGGGGAAAAAGTGGAAAAGGAAAAAAATAGCTAGTAGTGCTAATGCAAAGTAGTATCCCTGCAGTTCCTCTTTTAGATATTTCATTCATAATATACAAGGAAAGTTTCTCATCAGATGTGAATTGACATCACTCCCTTGGGGTCAATGGAGAGATGCTAATTCACACCAGCTGAGGATTTGGGCCAGTTATTTATAAGCTACTTGCTTGTGCTTTTATTTTCCATTGTTTTTAAATGTGAACCTATCAAAGTATCTTTATTACACTGAGCTTAGGGGAATCAAATGGGAGGCATAAAGGCTGCTAAGACCACTGTGCTGTCACCCCAAACGTCTTGCTTTTCATTTGTCTTGGTAAAACAATCCTTTAGGGACCAATGCTGCCACACTTCCTTATGCCTTGTCACCTCTTGCTACACAGCTTGGCCCACTGAAATCATGGGGTGACTCGTGGAGTAGGATTGGGCTCTTATAGAGTGGGAACACTGGCCGTGAAATCGTCTTCTGCTCTATGCAAAAATGCTTCCCTGCTCTTGAGCGCAGCTGTGTGGTACACTTAGTCACAAGAGCTGGGACTGACCCTGCCCTGGCACTTCTATACCGAGGGATGATAACGTCAGGGGTGGAAGTGGGCTGGGAGGTGTGGGCTTTGGGGGCAGGGCTTTTGGAAAGCACAGTGCACAGGAAGTGGGTTGTACAGACCTGCTCTGCCTCCCATGAGCAGCTTTCCTCCCAGGCACACTGAGACAGCAGGTCCCTTGCTACACCAGACAACTCTGCTGCCTGGTGCATGCTGGGGGAGAGGCGGGGGGCAGAGCCGTCATCTGCCTCCTTCCTGCTCCCTTTGGGGCACTGTGCACTCCTAGGGGAGGGGGTGCTCCTGTGCTTCTCTGAGCGAAGGGACAACAATTCTAAGGCGCTCTGACTCAGGCAGCCGAAGTGAGGGAGAAAGGTCCTCAGACTCCCCAGCTCCATCACGATGCATCCATGGAAGGGCAGGGCAGAATCTCCCGCTAAGTGACCACGCCCCAGATTGCAGCCTGTGGGTTGAGAGTCCATGTGGGCAGACCCCTTTGCTGGCTCAGGGCCTAAGGTTCAAACTCAATACATGACAGCGATAGCCTCTCAACATCCCGCCCCTTCTTCCTGTGCCCATGGCCCCACTGAATCCTGCAACCTGCTCCTCTCTGCTACCCATGTTGCACCCACCAATGTCACAGCCAGATCCTCAGCACTCTTTGCTCATCATCACGAGTTCAAACCTTCCTGTCCTTAGCTTCAAGGCCCTGCTGAACTCAGTTCCTGGCCTAGTTCTGGGATCCTGCCTACCCCACTTGTACCCCTGCTGATCCCTTTGCTCTGTGAGCAATGCCAGCCATGGCTCCCCCTCCAATCTCTTCTTACAGCTCCTTCCCTGATGCCAAGTATGCATAGAATGACCCCCTCAATCCCAGTGTGTCAGGCTCCACCCTCTCCTGGTTCCAATCCCTCCTGCAGAGCCATTGCATCCACGGGGAACACAAATGGAAAATGAAAGGGTCATACAGTGGATGAAAATGAAGGGAAAACCAGATCAGCTAGCGTAGCTCCTTCCTCTAGGACCTCTGACAATGTCTGTCTTTGACATGACAACGTCTCCAGGGTGGGGACTGTCCTGCCACCTGTGCATTGTACAGAGCCAAGCACATTGTTGTGGTGCACAACAGATAATAAATAACGACCACAGTAATTCCTAGTGTTAAATGCAATCTCTGCTGGACAATGCAAGATTCATCCTGTATCTGGTGAGAACGCTTTGACCATTGGAGATCTTGGAGACATTACATTCCTCCAACCCCACCATTGACTTCTTCAGTCCTCAATTAGCCCTAGATGAGATGCAGTTGTAAAACCTGCCAATCGCCACTGGCTTAATGTTCACACACAGGGCTGTAGCTAACCCTCAGAGATGGTGAACAGGAGAACAGAGATGGAGCCCGGGGGTTCTACAGCCGCAAACACTGACGATATCTGACATCTGTTGCAGCCACAGAAGATGTAAAATAGCCACAATGGGAAAAACTGATGCTTACAAAACCCAGGCATGGTTTGCTTATTCAGGGGCTGGTGCTGCCACTCATGCTCAGGCTGACTGGTACTTAACCCCGTTTTGTTCAAAGCGACTAGTCGTGGGACAAAGTTCTATGCTGCATGAGCAAGGGTGGTAGGCTCTGGCCCTTAAAATGTATGTTAATCTTTATGGACCTGATGCAGAACCTACTGAAGTCAATGCAAGTATTTGCATTGACTTCAGTGAGCTCTGGATCACCCCCTAGGGGTAAATCCCTGCCCCACTGAAGTCAATGGGAATTTTGCCATTGACTAAATGGAGCCAGGATTTCACTCTAGAAGACTTTATGATGCCTTTTGCACAGATTCTTCCCTTTAGCATTTACAGCTGCACAGTTCTTTGTTATTGCTTCTTAAACCCCCTGTGCAGAGCGCTAAAGGGTTAGCCACTTCCCCTTAGCTCAGTAAGAAAAAAAACCAAACCCCAAACCAAACCTGGGTGAAAAGAAAACTCACTCACTTCTTCAGCATCCGATCCACACTGCTGAATGGACTATTGCTATACAATGCTATATACAGATATGGGTTACTTCATTCATGCAAAGTGTTACAAGGACCACAACAGCATTCCCAATCAGGAATATGAGACGGGAGCAACGCACTAGGGTCTGGCCAGGGAATGGACGGCAACAAAAGTAAAGCCCCCAAGATTCTGTCAGAACTAAAACAGGGACTTGAGACAAAGGGTTTGGACAGGTGCCTGCAAGGCACAGCGGGGGAGTGTGGGGTGGGCAGGCTCACTGATTTTGTTTGCAGGGTAGGGGAGAGGGCATGCTGATCATAATACAGCCAAAAAATAAGGAAATGGCTCGCACTGTTCTTGTGACTCTCAGCATGTCAACACTCTAACAACTGAATAATAAATGGGGCATCCAAGCAAGAACAGCAGTGGGGTTTCCATCCTATTGGTAGAAAGCTCTTGAACCCCTGGACTTCCTTCTTCAGTCCAGACTCTTGTTTTCATTCAGTGGGGACAGATCTGCATGTCCTCAATATATGAAGGCAAATAGACTTTTGTAAGAAAGTCATGAAGTCCCCTATTCCTCGCCTTCCCTCCACCACTCGGCTTCTTAACAACTATTCTGGCCCCGGCAGAAAAGCCCAAATTACATTTCAGATCAATCCTCCCCAGGGGGCAGGGTGGGAGCAACAATAAAGTCAGTATCATATGCTCTTGTAGGTAGAGTTGCAAAGATGGCCCTGCATCCATGCCTCCTTTAATATGCTGCAACCCCTGGTTAAGAATCTTGCTGAATTCTTACTCCTACCTAGTACAAAGAATGCTCCAAGCTGCATTCCATCAGCAGGTAAGTGAACATGGTAAATGTCTTTTCTTTTTCCTCTGTTCATTATACACAATGTTTTATCTCTATCTATATCTATATAGCTTTCTATATAGATACATATAGATCTCTAGCAATATATTTACTATCTCTGATTGTTCCTTTAGAAGCCCTTTATGTGGCAGTAGGCTTCCAGAGATGAGAACAATATGTACAAGAGCCAAAGGAGCACAAAGAGGGATGTTGTCAGAAGCTTGGCAGTCCGCGGCCCACCCAGCTCACCTCCAATCTCCGGTCTCCGCCGGTAAAGCAGCACGCCCACACTGATAAAAGCAAAAATGGTGAAGAGGGTGACGGAGAAAGCCAAGGTGCCGGGGGAGACGTAGAACACTTCCCCGTTTGCTGCGTGGTAGATGGCAGCGATGGACCAGGCCACGCCAATCCCCAGGAAAACATTCACAGCATTGCTCCCGGTGACGTTCCCGATTGAGGCATCAGCATATTGATCCTGCGTAGCCGCCACTTTGCTGGCAAAGGTGTCTGCGAAGCGAAAAGAAAAGCAGTCAGTCAGGTGGCAATAAAATCAGTTGCCTTGGAAAGGGCTACCCTGGTGTCATTGCAAGTCCCTTCCTATTGGAGAATAGAGCTCCTGACAAGCTGGTCTAGGTAACAGCTTGGCATCAAAGGTACGTCTCCACTGCAGGTGAAAGTGGGACAGTAGCATGGCTGGCCAAACCTGAGCTAGCTTTAATCTAGCTATAGCAGGGTGTATGTGGTGGCATGAGCTTCGGCATGGGCTAGCTGCCCCAGTACAAGCTTGCCAAGGACTCAGGCAGCTAGCCCATGCTACCGTATCGACACTACCCTTATTATCCCTGCTCACTAGAGTAAAGCTAGCCCAGGCATGGTGCTATCACACCTTCGCTTGCCGTGTAGACATACGCCCCAGAGACTGTATGATGGGGCAGCATGCAGCCACCCTTGGAGTGACAGTCAAGGCCCCGTGTGATGAAGTCCAAACCCTTGGAATGAGAAGCTTTCCCTGAGGAGACCTGGACCCAGATCCCACCTCTCAAAGCTCCCTGCAAGAGTCAGAGGACCCCAGACAAAACACTTCCTGACCTTTCCCCCAAACAGCCTAGCCTAGGGAAGAGGTTTGAGCTGAATTTGATGTTATGGTGTTAATTTCTCTGCCACTCTTGCTCACGTTGAGTAGTCTGTGACTCTGCATTTAGTCCTATTGAACTTAGTAGGAGGAAAGATGGGCTTTGCAGTGAGAACATTCACACATCAGGGTTTGCAAATATCTGAACAGCTCTAGCCACATTTCTGTGAACTATAACACAAAGGAGACTTCATGATCTCCCCCCGGTGGTCTGTTATCCTTTCTACATAGTGCACTGCAGAATGCAGCAGGAGAGATGCTGTCCATACCACCCTGCAGGGGGATTGCCTGGCCTGTAGGTCAAATTCCCTGGAGTTCCTACTCAGACCAGACAGACCCCCACTCTAGGGCAGGCACCCTTTTAGACTTCATGGACTTCAATGTGCAACTAATGAAATACCCAAGTTAGCGAAGCCCCTACTAAAAACTCTGGAATGTTACCTATATAGGATGAATACAATCTAAGGGTGCTTAGCTCTGACATAGCGCTGTTTGTCTGCAGACACCAATGCCTTCCAAAGGAAATGCAATGGTCTGTAGCCATTTACAAGAGCAGCAAGTACCAGTTATGCAGCAATGCTGTACATTTATAATGGGCCCAATCCTGCACTCCTTGAAGTTAATGGCATAGCTCCCACTGACTTCCATGGTGCAGGATCAGGGCTGGAGGGCCTCACCCTGGAATGCTCTGTACTTAGTTATGCATGTCCTTTGTGCCAGTGCCTTCCCTCCCTACAGCACATCCCATGCAAAGGCCAGGGACAATTGTAGTCCCCATGACTGAAGAAGCCCAGGAATTTCCCCCTTGTGTACCTGGGGTCAGAAACTACCCCCTAATGTGGGAACTGGGTCCTGGTTCGCTGCATTGGCCCATGGAGCTAGGTGGGCATGAGGAGGGATGTAGGCTGCACCATCCTAATGGATATACAGCGTGCATGCTGGGGAGCTGGCTAAGGCATCCTCCTGTCTCAGAGCTATGATACATTCACTCTGAAGGCTAGTGGCTAAATGCTATAATCTGCCTCTTGACAAGCTGCATAGCTACTGGATATGTATTTGTACTCACTCACATGTGGCAAGCATGGCAATTGCCAACTTATGTCTAAAAGAAATCATATTGAAAAGCCAGTTGCATGGGTGCATAAGTGCATTTGATTTGCACTACCACAAGGATGAAGCCAAAGCAAAGACACAAAGACATTTCATCAGATGGCATAAAGGCAAGATACAAGAGGCAAAACTGGTATAGCTATAGCCTTTGTGCTTATGCTTGCCTCTGTATTCTCCACACAGCCCTGCCACATTGACTGCCCAGGAAATCAGACAGGGGTCTTGTAGGGAAAAGGCTGTATTGTAATGCACACACGTAAGAGGACAGAATTAAGGTTGTGCCGACTGGATGGATGGACTGACTTCTGTTGGTGAGCGAGCCAAGCTTTCGAGCTTACGCGAGTGCTTCTTCAGGTCTGGGAAACATACTCAGCGCTCCGGCCTACGCTACAGAATTACTTTGGTATAACTACATGTTCACACCCCTCAGTGATGCAGTTACACCAGCCTAAGTGCCAGCATAGACAGCGCTATGTCAGCGGGAGGGCTTCTTCCACCAACATGGCTACTGCCTCTCGGGGATGTGGATTAACTATGTCGACGAGAGAAGTTCGCCCACTGGCGTAGGAGCATATTCACTTAAGCACTACAGCGGCACAGCTGCATTGATGCAGCTGCGCCCATGCATCATTTTAAGTGTAGACCTGTCATGAGTACGGGTCCCAGACCCGAAGAAGAGCTTTGTGTAAGCTTGAAATCTTGTCTCGCTCACCAACAGAAGTTGGTCCAGTAAAAGATATTACCTCACCACCTTGTCTCTCTAATATCTGAGACTGACAAGGCTACAACAACACTGCCTACTTTTCATGATGTTATTCCCTGAATTCTGAGTGCTTCAGCTTGCAACCTTACCTTGCTCTTAATGACGGATTTTTGTAATGGAATTGTATACATCTCTTCCCTGTCTCTCCTGAGTCATCTTCCCTAAGCTAAATAGGCTTAAGACCTGATCCTGCAAGTTATTCCACGTGGGTGGCTGGATTTCTGTCCACTGATTTCTATGGGGTTCTGCATGCTCCACTTGCTGGATCAAAACCTCTATCTTTAAAAACTCTTTCCTCATCCTAAAGTCTTTCCAAACCTTTAATGCAGTGGTTCCCAAATTTGTTCCTTCCACTGCAGGGAAAGCCCCTGGCGGGCCGGGCTGGTTTGTGTACCTGCCGCGTCCGCAGGTTCGGTCGATCGTGGCTCCCAGTGGCGCGGTTCACTGCTCTAGGCCAATGGGAGCTGCTGGAAGCGGCGCAGGTCGAGGGACGTACTGGCCGCCGCTTCCAGCAGCTCCCACTGGCCTGGAGCCACGATCGGCTGAACCTGCGGACGCGGCAGGTACACAAACAGGCCTGGCCCACCAGGGGCTTTCCCTGCAGAAGCGTCGGAACAAGTTTGGGAACCACTGCTCTAATGATTTCCTTTGCCTTCCTCTGGCCGTTTCCTATTTCTGCTATCTCCTTTCTGAGATGGGGTGCCCAAAGTGAGGGCATCAATTTATTTATTGGCTTTATAATCTTGTCAACCACTGTCCATCCCTTTCTTAAGAAAGCCTATTAACCTCCTGGCTTTCTGATCAACACTGAGCAGAAGTTTGCATTGAACTATCATGCCAGGCTGATGTATTTTTCCTGAGTGCTTGCAATTATGTTAGAACCCTTCCAAGTATGACTTGCTCAGATGGTTATTCCACTGTGCAGTACCTTGCTATGCTATATTTCTGCTTGACACCATCTTGCCCAAACATCTAGCTTTGTAAATTCCTCCTGAAGTACCAGGCCACCCTGTCTAGTCTGACTAAATTCAATAATTTTGTGTACTCCAGATATTTTTTTTGCCTTTAAAGTAAAGCATCTCCTGTTTCAATAAAAGGCCTCTATTTAACTGTTCCATCAACAGCTCAAGGCATGGCACTGGATTAAATTTCTTACTGATATATCTAGTCAAAATTTTTCTATCAAAACTTGGTTTGCAAAGGAAAATAGGGTTTTCAGCTCAATGAAAATCTTGGCAGAAAGTGACTGCATTCCTCAAAACACTGGAGGTTTTTAGAGCAGGTGGCACAACCCCTGTCAGGGAGAGGGTTTTCGTCTAGGTTTGCTTGGTCCTGTCTCAGCACAGGGGCTGGACTTGATGACGTCGCAAGGTCCCTTCCAGCCCGACATTTCTATGATTCTATGCTAAGACCTTAACCACAAAACCAAGCCCCCGCCTCCCTCTCCCTCTCCCTCTCTCCCTCCCCATCACTTACCCACCAACTTTATTTTCTCCCTAATATTGAGACATTAACTTATAGCTAGGAAGTGATGCATCTTGTTTAGTCACCTTGCCAAACAATTGCTTTTACTGGAGGAAACTGACCACGCAGTGGCATTAAAGGGATGAGAACTATTTTGTTTAATTATTCCTACTGTTGATTCTTTGCTTACTTAGCTATTAATCAAACAGTGGCCACAGGCCCAATGAAATGAGATTATTGTAATTGATATGGCGCATTCAAGAAACACTAAGGCACTGTATTTTTGTATTAAGAATGGAAATGATTAGGCATTGTTCTGTGAATATCCACTTGCAGTTTTTAACACATGAAAGATTGTTATTAGGCCAGACACTTTATGTTCTGTATTTTGCCTCTATGTAAGTGATGATGGTTAGAAAAAAGGGCTTAGCTTTTCATTACAAGTCATCTGAATCGGACACTGCACTCCAGTCCACCACACTGCTACAGAGCACAGCTGTTTTCCTCTGGTGTGCACCTGGAGCCTTACAGGCATAGAAAAGTTGTACGTGATATTTAAAGCATGCACTATGGATCACAAAGTACTCGTTATTTCAAATAAATGAGACCAGACATACCCACAAAAAGTGGAATTTTCTGTTTTGTAGCTCAGTAAAATAAATGCAGTTTTGTTAGCCCTTCTGGGACCCGATGGGACTCCTGGTTGCTCCCTTGCACTGAGGGGTTCTGTATAAGCACCCGTGTTATTGGTTTTATGCAGAGTTGCCAACTCTTGCAATTGTATTGCAAGTCTTGTGATATTTAGGGCTTTTCTTAAGACCCAGCTCCTACAGTCTCCGCTTTAAAAAAAAATACAGTAAATTTCTAGCCCTTGTGGTTATAGAGAAAGGCTTGAAAATGTGATCCTTCCATGCTCTACAACCAGAAGGCATATAAAACACACACACCCCAGTCTATTTTTGTAAGTTAATATCATGATTTTTTGGGGCCTGACTCCTGATATTTGAATGCTTGGAGTTGGTGATACTATGCATGATCAAAATATATCTCAGCTGGACTAGTTTTGGTCATGTTCTCTTGAAAGTCAATTGTGCCTGGTTGGCCCAGCCCATAATAAGGGGTGGAGGGAACAGTGGAGACATTCTGACACAGGAGACACAAGGCATCCTGGAGCAAACAGGTCCTTAGGATGTAACCTCCAATTTGTGAGTCTGTCCTTAATGAAGGCTTCCTAGCTTACCATGCTTGATTCAGTCTCTTAAAAAAGGCAGAATGCCATGGAGTATGGAACTATAGGAATACTTAGATCAGCTGATAATACTGTGCTATGAAGAACAGTCTCTTCTTTGCCTCTCTTAGGCCCCTTTGCTAAGTCTCCACTAACCATGACTGCTCCTGAGGCAGTCTAATCAATCCAAGACCTATCTCCAAACAACAGGTATTAGAGGACTCTTCAGATGTTTCACTAGAAACACTTCTAGCAGCTATTCACACTCAACAACCTAATTTTGATTCATCTGGATCAAAGCTGAATCTGGTCTCATCAGAGGTGTTCCATGCAGAACAAAGAACCTGAATGCAGAAAAATGTGAGAGAGATCAAGGGAGAAGATTAAAGAAGCAGAAGTTCAAAATGAGAACATGGGATTGCAACTCTGGCAGGGGTTTAAATAAAAGACAGCAATTTTCTACACTGAAAAACTGAGGGCATGGAAAACTTTTTAAAGCTTAAAGAGATATTAGGTATTTTGGAATCTGTGGAAAAGAGGAGTTAGGTTTTTGAAATACTTTCCAGGGTACTGAATTGTCTTCTCAAATTTCAGCTCCCTACCCTATTGGATAATCTAAAAATATTCCACATACCTTTCAAATCTCTCCCAGTTTAACAAGTGTCTGCTTTAGCTGTCTCAACAAGAATGGTCACATGGTAATTTTAGCAATGCCATTGGAGTGGTATTATGACTATGATACGGAGGAGGGAAAACATACTACTTATAAAGAAATTGATCTTTACTTTCCTCAATATCAGCAGAACTATTCAAAATTGTACCACATGGAATTCTTCTTTCTGGGTTTCCAAGTTTCCCACAAAATTGAAGCTTATTAAAGATGTTTAAAAATCACGTTTTTTTGTAAACTAGGATTTATTTTATCTACACAATCAGTTCAAAAGGATACTTGTTGAAATGGAGAGGATGGTGTGGGTCTTGATGAGGCTGTGTCAGATAATTCTTTACCACCTGACTACAAAGGGTTGTTGGTTTTTAAACATCTCCTTTTCTTTTGCCATTTTTTGTTTCCATGTTCGATGGCAAACCAATAGCTTGTGTGTCTGTCCCTTTCCATGCCCAAATGCAATGGGCCCAGTTCACACACCCTTCCTCACACTGACTAGCACATGAGCTGTTCCAGTGGTTTCTGTAAGGAGCTGGGTAACTGGGGTGGCGGGGTTGGACGATGCTGGGAGAGGGATTCTGGTTGGAGTGCAATTAGAGTCAGTGATGCTGATATTGTTACTAGGGCATTGTGATTGGGGTTGGGTGGTAATTGACAACATCTGTTATTTGCAGAGAGCGAGGTCATAGAGTGTAAGGCCAGAAGGGACCGCCAGGTCATCTAGTCTGACCTCCTGCCTAGCACAGGCCACTAAACCCCATCCAGTTACCCCTGTATGGAGCCCAATAACCTGTATTAGACTAAAGTATTACAGCCCTCAGGAGACTAAGATGCAGGGACAGGGAATTGCTAGAGGGCATGTGAAAAAAGGGCATGTAAAAGCTACTAGGCTAGAAAGAAAAGAAAGGCAACTGAGTAGTAACATTCTTGGTTCATAAACAGGCTCTTCTCACGAAGGGTCTCAAGGTGCTTTATGCCCATTAATAAACAGCGGTGCAGCACCTCCCCCATTTCTGGTTCTGCAAAACCAAAGCTGATCCAAAACTGCTACTGAGATGAGACACGAGGAATCTTTTACCCCACCCAGTCCATTCCTCCTCTTTGGGGGTTTGGATAATATGAACCTCAGAGCCCATCCAGGCCTGGTTTTTGTTTGGAAAAAATAAAATCTGACTAATGAGGTTTTGCAAAAACAAGAGACAAGACTCCTTGGCCCATTTCCAATTAGCACATAGCATCATTTGTTGAAATACAGAGCTGGTAATTCCAGTCACAAGCTCCCTTTGCCAACAGTCTGGTAACACCCAATGCCAGCTGATAGGAGGTAGCGAACATGGTGCTATTGGGTCCATGCCATCCCTTCTTCCTGGTCCTCTCTGAAAGCTCCTGTCAGGGCGCTGGGCAGCTCCGTTCCTTCCCTGCCAGGCTTCTCTCTGCTCCCTGCAGGGGAAGGCAGGGGGACAGGGGACCCAGAGCTGCAGCGGGAAGCACCTCTCTTCCTAACCCCAGCAGCCAGCCGGCATGGTGGAACATGACCGGAGAGTGAGATGAGCGAGGTGTAGAGGCTGACCTGGCTGTGATATGGGAGAGATGTACAGCACAGTGCAGCTAACAACTCTGGGAGTCCCTGGTGAGCCGTCTCTGTATGGCTACTGATTCCTTACACCTCTGGCATGTACCCTTTTCTCTGTCTCCTTTAAGCTCCTCTTCACAGGGCGCTCTCCCCAGGTTGCTGCCCACTCTCCTCACTCCTCTGTACCTGCTCTGTCCTTTGAGGCAAGGTGGAGCTGCAGCGAACACAGCATCCAAGTGAGGGTGTCCCACTGACTGACATAATGGGGAGACACTGTTCTCAATATTATTTTATCTCCTAATGTTTTTGTTCTACTGCAGCTGATGTTTAGCGACAGTGGGACAGACACTGAAAAAAGGACTTACAAAAGGGTCTTAACTATTTAAACACACTGTACATAATTTCCAATTATGCCAGATGAAAAAACTTAAGTGTCACTCTGCATTTTGCTAATGGTTCCCAGTTAATGGTTGCCAGTTAAACAGCAGGCGTGTCTGAGAGAAATATGCACTGTGGATCCATGTAAATCCAGAGTAATTTATAGCAATATACCAGATAGCAGAAATTGGAGCTGTATGTTTTATTATCAGTAGCACCAACAGATTAAAATGACAGTAAGAGTAACATGGCCAAAAGTACTTTCCTCTCATTTCACTGGTTTTCCATTCACTTATATACCAATATTAGTGGCGCAGAAAAAATCTTTGGGATCTAAAAGAAACAAAGAACGGCTTGCCAGACACAGTAACGATTTGTGGAATGGATCAAGGACACTTTGTTTTAAGGGGATTTTTAAAAAACCCAGTCCAGTGCAGTTAATGTCATACCTACATGAGATGTAAAAAAACCCAACGTTCTGCAGGCAGTGGAGAAAGCAAAAATGTGGATTGACACATGTTACTTTTGCACTCCATGGAACAACTAGAATTCTATTCCGAGAACGAAAACTTGGGTTTGCTGAAGTTAAGACTGTAAATATCAGTTACAAGTTGTTATCAAAACATTAGAAAGCCTGCAAATTCAAAGCTAAAGCTATACTTTAACTAACCCACAGCCACCACGAAGGGAAACGCACCACTGGGGTCTCCCATGGGTGTCAGTGTTACTAGTTAGCTCTTCATCTAGACCTGGATTGCAGCCCGCTCCCACTGAATCCCAAATACACAGCATAGGGGAAAGATGGCAGAGATCATGTCAGGAAATTAAATTACTTTTTTACCTGGCACTGAAGTTCCCAATGCAACAAACACGACTGCAGTCACTGAATCCTTCAGGCCAATGGTGCAGCCAAAATGGGATGCCAAGTCCCCGATGAAAGCCGTCAGCAAACCAATCATTAGGATGGAGACGACGAAGCAGGCCCAGCCACTCCAGTAGTCTGTCGGGGGGACGAAGGCGAAAAGGACCTTCCAGAAGACGGTCAGAAAGTGCATCACATAATCAAAGCAGGAGGGCAGCTTCTCTTCCCCACATTCGTCATCATCATCATCCTCGCCTGGAGCAACAACACCAGAGTCTGATTAAACCCAGAGTTGCACAACTGGGTGTCCCTGCTCCTGTCTAAGTACTTATACAGCCCTTTGTACTGCACTGTTTGAGCCTCACCCAGTCAATAATGGAGTTTATTCTCAACATTCCCCTGTGAAGTAGAGATGTATTATTGTTATCATCACCCCCTTGTTACGGATGGGGAAGACAGGCCCAGAGAGAATAATGGTGAAATTTTCAAAAGCACCCAAGTAATTTAGGAAAGTAAATCCCACTGACTTCCAGTGAGCTCTGTGCTCCTAAGTGAGCTAGGCACTTGGGAAAATCCCACGACACTTGCCCAAGGTCACATAGATGACTGTGGCACAGCAGACAAGCGAGGCCTATATTTCCCAAAGTTGCTAAGCCTTTGTAGTATTGCTGTCTTTTGGGTGCAAAACTTGGGACACTCGGATGGCTGCCAAGCCCTGCCCCCACCATCACAAGCAACCCCATCATACGATCTCACTCATAAATGTGTCCAGCTCTCTCATCGGACAAATTAAGTGTTTGCTCCCACAACTCCTACTGAAAGGCTGTTCCAGAACCTTACCCTTCCGATGGTTAGAAATCTACTTCTAACTTCTAGCCAGAATTTGTTCATGGCCAGTTTATCCCCACTTCTTCTTGTGCCACTATTGTCCTTAACCTTAAATAGCTCGTCACCCTTCCTGGTGTTTACCCTCAGTGTAGTTATAGAGAACAAATGTAACCCCCCTCCGCCTTCTCTGTGCTAGGCAAAACAAGGCCAGACCTTTTAGTACTCCTCTCATACAATAGGCCCTCCAGTCCTCTGATCATCTACTAGCTCTTCTCTGCACCTGTTCCACCTGCTGCAGTAGTTGCAACATCCACTCTGTAAGTTGAGGGCCAGGAGAGAAACAGGTTGTTGGTTTACACTGGAAGCCCCAGATACATTACTAGAGGGGACTAGCTCCCCCCCCCCAAACGGAACTAAGAATATCTGTTAATGGGAAGAAAACCTGGACATTTGGAGTCTGTGATGGCTCTTGATTTGTTCCAAGGATTAGAGACATTAGAAGCCAGAGAACAGTATCACTGAACTGAACATGGCCAAGAGTGTAGTGACAGGGGCTGGGGAAGATAAAGCTGCTGAAATGGAAGGTAATAAGATCACTGTGTTCTGAATGGGGCTGGAAGAGGAAGGATGTGGGAAGAGTGAATCTAAACCCTGCTCAGAAACCTTCTTCAGGTTCAAAATTATTATTAAATTGTATTAGGAGCTCCGGTCATGCCCCAGGACCATTGTGCTAGGTGCTGCACAAACACAGAAGCTCCCAACCTTCCTTTTCTAGACAACTCTGTATTTTATATGCTTTTATCATTTCCCCTCTTGCTCATCTTCTTTCTGAGGTAACAATCCCAATCTTTTCAACCCCCTTTGGATGAAAGTTTTCCCAGGCCCTTGATCATTCTTGTTGCTCTTCTCTGAACCACTCCAGTTCTACGATATTCTTTATGAGGCGGGGTGCTCAATACTGCACACAGTGTTCCAGATGAGGCGACCCCTCATCTCACTGATTGATAAAAAGGCTTTGTTAGACAATTCTCCGTATTATTCTCCATCACATGCTTTACGAATGTGAACAGCATGTTACGTAGTTTGATCGCACTGTGCATTGCACAGAGGTCTCCACTGAGCTGCCTATGATGATGTCCAGGTCCCTTTCCTGTGCTGATACTGTTAATTTAGAACCCTGTAAGGTTTACGAGTAGTTTAAACTTCTCCTCCCTGCAAAGTGCATTCCTTTGCATTTATCAACAATGAACTTCAGAGACCGCTGCACTGGGGAGAGGGGTAAAACAGGGTCTAGCCAGGGCCAACCCCTTCCCCCCAAGCAACTCCCTGGGCCTAGAACCATGTAGGGAAACCCCCACCAGTCTGGTGAAGTAGACGACCATGTTGCTTTGGTGAAAAGCTGCAGAAAGAGGAACCAGCCAGAGACTCCAGCTGGTCAGAGCAGGAGCAGAATCAGCCAAATCTGGATCCTTTGGAAATTCAGAGAACTTGCTACAGTTTTGACTGGACTTTCTCTGTCCTATGCTGATTAGCTGTTTGCTCCAACCCACCATCTCCCTCCCAGTCTCTTCATCTCAGCTTCACTCCTCCCCTGCTCCATCCCCTTCATTGCCCTTTTCCCAGCAACATCCCCGCTCCCTTTCCTTGTCTTTCCGTTTAGGTTGTCCCCTCCGAACTAAACCTGTGACAGTACTTTACCTCTCACCACCCTGCTGCATGATCTTGGGCAAGTCATTTCCCTGTCTGTTCTGTTTAGACTGAAAACTCTTTGGGGAAAAGTCTCTCTCTTGCTTTTTTTTTGTTCAGCACCTAGCATAATGAAGGCCTGGTCTCATCTGTCTAGGTCTTCATGTAATACAAATAATGATTTAATATTGTTTTGGTCAGCTTCCCTATCCTCCACAAGATGTATCCTTTGCAATCTCTTAAGCATCTGCCATTGAGTTACTGTGCGCCTGCTGCAGAGGCGGAAAGGTGCAGCAGTTCTGTCTGTTTTAAGGGTGTTTGTCATGCTGAAGTGTGAGCATGCCGTCCTCCCCCTTTCCCCCCCGTAAAGGGGTGATTTTCCTCCTGCCTAACTGGTCTGAATTCTTAGGGGTACTAAACTTCTGCCTGGCAGGAAAGACACATTGCTGAGCTGAGAATTCAGTTCCAGGGTGGGATTTAGTCCAACAGCACAATGCACTATAACGTGCAACAGCTCTGACAACACACCAATGTACAAGAGACCTGAAGAGCAGCTTCTCTCTCTCTCAACAACAGATGCTAGTCCTAAAACATATGACCTCGCCCACCATGTCTCTCTTACATACAAAGAGACAATCCGCAGAACCAAATCTGGCACATTTCCCCCTCTTGACTTCAGGAGGCTGCTGCTCTTCTAATTTCTCTTTGATTTGCCCAAAGCGCTAGTTCAATGGGATCGGAAACAATGTTTAGCTTACTGCATCAATCCAGGAGGCGCGTTACAATTCAGGGCCAGTGTACTTCCCTTCTTCCCAGTGCTCTAGACTTCAATTTCGAGTCTGTTTTGACATCCAGTCTCCATGGCTTTCCAGGCAGAGGATGCTGACAGGTCTGATGGAGCCCTACGGTAACATGCTGACTTGCTCAGGGGGCTCCGACAGCACGGCTTGCATTCCTCAGGATGGGAATTTAAGTTCCAAAGCAATAAACAGCTTCCATGAGTCATAGCTGAACTAACAGTAGCCAGGCTTCACTGGTTGAGCAGAGACGCTAAAGGATGCTCTTACAATGAAGGCAGGTGAGGGATGGAAAAGATCAGTGTATGATTTCCAGCTCTGGCAAAGATACCCTGTGTGACCTTTGGTAAGTCACTTGATCTCTGTGCCTCATTTCCCCAGCTGTACAATGGGGATTGTAAATGGCACCTTTATCCCTTGTCTATCTGGACTGGGAGCTCTTTGGGGCAGGACTATCTCTTACTCTGGATATGTACAGTGCCTAGCCCTCTAAGGCCTCAGTCTTGGTCAGGGTCCCTGGGCACTAGCCAAGAGGTGGGAGGTTCACATCTGTGTCAAGTTCATTTCCTCTGGAACATCGGCCTAGATTTCTAAAAGCAGCTAGGGATTTTGTGTGCCCAACTTGAGACAGCTTAAAGGAACTGTCAGAGCAGGGACTCAAACTTTCTGAAAATCAGTCTCTTTCAGGCACCTCTTCTTAGACACCCATAATTCCTGGCCATTTATGAAAAAAATTAAAGCCATTGCTTTCTTTTTTCCCTTTTGTTTCCTACACCATGGCCCTATGTGTATGTAGCTCTATGTACACAGAATACCTAGTCACAGCTGCTCCACAAAGACAGAGAAGAGAAGCTCTTGCAAATAGGGAGAAGCTCATGTTTCAGCTTGCAAAGGAAAAACAAATGTAATGATGTCACTTGGTTAAATCACAATGGCAAAAGGTGATAGCATTTATATATCCCCTCTCTCAGGGCCGGTGGAAGGAAGTTTCGCGCCCTAGGCGAAACTTCCACCTTGCGCCCCCCTCACCCAGCTAACCCCCCCCCCCCCCCCCGCAGCAGCTAACCCAGCCCCCCA